ATATTTAAGTACAAAATTCGAATTTAGTTTTTCAGCCATTTTGACAGCCCTAGTGTGCAGCGCATTTTATGGAGGACTGTTTCCTGATCCTGGTAGAGTAGACTACAATGCCGGCTGTTCTGACTCACAGACTGTAAGTATGTTTTTTATATTTAAAGCGTTTTTATATTTTATATATTTAAAGCGAGTTTTTTGGGCAGTGTAGAGTAGCGCTTGTTGTTTGTCATTTCTCTGATCACAAATGCAGACATGGTTTTATGTTTACGCGGCGCGATGCAACGCAACGCGTAAAAAGACAGTATAAGTCATTATAATCTGTAATTATGTCCCCACTGGATGCTACAAATGCCTCGTTTGTAATGGGTTTTCATGTTTTTGAATCATCTCTCCGGCTTGACAGGGCATCATCACAAGGGCATCATCACAATGTGGTAAGGGGCGTAACATTTCCGTCAGATGCTTGAGGTATTCGGCCAATCACAATGCACTGGATTGCTGGCCAATCAGAGCACACCTCGCTTTTCAGACCGATGAGCTTTGTAAAAATCGACGCGTTTCAGAAAGGTGGGGCATAGAGGAGAAACAATAATGTACAGTATGTGGAAAATAATGTGTTTTTTGAACCTTAAACCGCATAAACACATTATTACACCAAATACACCAAATAATGTTCTTTTTAGCAACATCATATAACCCCTTTAACAGTTCAGATTTTTACATCATATCAAAGTTTTGCCAAAGGGAAACCATAATGTGTAGAAATGAAAGTCACTGATTATACGGTGTACACAAAATTAGGCAAATTAAGACTTCACAAAACAGAGTACCAAAGAAATCATTGCTATTAATAACAATTATTGTTTCAGTGTTTATATGCATCATTACGCAGATATTGTAACTGAGGGTCGGGGCACATTAGAACAAACCGAGAGCAGGAGGAAAAACAGCGCATGGAAAAACGAACATCTCATTAGTGACAAAGGGTGTGATAAGCAGCGCTAACTTTGTAATTACTGTAACATGAAATAGTTATATTACATATCAAATGTCTATTTTCGTTTTCCTATGCTGAAAAAAACAATGTCTGAAAATAATAGATGAACTATAAATAAGTTGTAATTTCAAAGAGACAAACTCAACGATAGAACTATAAAGAACACCATCAAATAAACTTAGATTTATTATGTTACAAATGATTTCTCTAATAAATGCTGTTCTTTTGAACTTTGTATTCATAAAAGAATTTCATTTTAATCAATGAATCATGGAATAAATATTAAACAGCACAACTGTTTTCAACATTGTTTCTTGAGCAGCAAATCAACATATTAGAATGATTTCTGAAGGATCATGTGACACCAAAGACTGGAGTAATGATGCTGAAAATTCAGCTTTGCATCACATAAATAAATTTCATTTTAAAATTAAAATAGAAACAGTTATTTTAAATACTGTTTCACAATATTACTGTTTTTACTTTTTGATCAAATAAATGCAGACTTGGTGAATATTAGAGACTTCTTTCAAAGAAAAAAAAAAATCTAACCAACCCCAGACCTTTGAACTGTAGTGTACGGCTGCATATCCTGAAATGTAGTTTCTGTGTTTTTCTCCTGCTTCGACACAGATGTAGGATTGCAAAATGCAACTTATTATTTTTCAAGAAACGTCTCTTTGTTCTCTGCATCTCTCTGCTAAAACTCAAACTCTCTGAATGGGAGGAGGGCAAGGACATCTCAAACAGTCAAAGCACAAACTCCACACAAGACGGCTGACAGGAACACCGACATCAGTCAATCAAGAGTCTGCATTGTGACAGCCGCAATATAGAGCAGAAAAATCGATATCCCATTGACTGGGCCACTGCAGCCTAATCAAGGTTCCCAGACCTTTATGAATGCTTGAAGGAGAACAGATAGGCTGTCCTGATTGGGACTCTGCAGCCTCTTTTTTTATCTCCTTCGCTAACGTTTTTAACATGTCTTCATGGGCTGTGCTGCACCTGTTCTGGAGACTTTGCAGGAAGGCTATGTCACCTTGGTTCACTACCTTGTGCTTTCTTCTGACGTTGAGAAGAACAAGTGCAAATTATGGACTCTACAGCCTGATACTGCCATGACAGAGCCAGGAACATATTGTCCAGTGAAGGCACTATTCCTTGGCAGCGAACCTCGGTATTAAAAGGTCACCCCCGAAGTGCCTCGCCTCTTGTCTCATTGAGGGTACAAATGAGAAATTCAGAATTCAGTGCGTGTTAGATGGGTATCAATGTGATATATGATCACCAATTTACTAGTAATCCAATATCACATGTGGCCTATAATGGTTAAACTGATAATCACAAATATTTTGCTCAAAATGTATACTCACGATTATTAAGCTCTGTTCATACCAAGAGCGATAACTACAGAGATAACTATAAACAATAACTATATTAGCGCCCACACCAATGCACAATATCGTTATGTTTATTATAAGCTCGAGCAGTTTTGTCGTCTGTCCTTTTAAATGCTTGAGCTCTGTAAAAACCGGATGGATTCTAATTGGGTGTCAGTGTTTTTATCATTCATCAGCTGGAAAAAAATAGCCTCCGGAAAGTGATTGCAATAATATCGTTATCGCTATACTTGTATTTTGAGGAATTACATTTTACCTTTAATTGGGATTACTGCACTTTCACATGGGCAAGAAAACATCAGCTCATATACAGGGTTTCATTTGCCTCATCTATTTTCCTGATTTATTACTGTATATTTACCCTATCATATAAAAACAAAGAAACATTATATTGCATTATAAATACTGGTAAAACAGGAAGCTTCTCCTAAAATATAAAACATGTGAAATTCTTAATATTAGCTTTAAAAATTCCAAATTATGTTCATGTTTTTCTATTAAAACAACAACAAAAATGATTTTGTATTGTGGCACGGAGGTTGCTTAAGTGCATCTATTCAGCAACAACAATCACAAACATTACTGTTGAGATTCATGTTTGGATTTATTACAGTTCATCACCGAAAATGTTGGCAAATAGCCTGTTGCTGAACTTTTTTTCTTCTTAGATTATCAGTGCTTTTTTCTCAGTTTTGAGAGAGCATGTGCACATGGCTGCCAGATTAAATGTGTCCTTTTAAAAGAACATCTCTGATTGGGGGATTTAAGCCCATGACATCTGGCAACCCCAAGCATGAAAGCTTGTGGAGGCTTTTTACCAATTCAAGATAACGCAAGCAAAAAAAAAACAAACAAGTATGATAAATAAATAACCAGTAGGCAAATATTGCAGACACATGAGCTTAATTAATCGACAGAAGCAATAATCCTGATCACAAATAAAATACTATTTATAGTGCAACCCTACTGTGTCTTTTGAACAATACTACAGGATTAGGATGGAAAGCCACCTTGAACAACTTTTTTCAGACTGGTAGGGAACTCTGGGGACTTTCACGCATCAGACTTGTACTTGTTTGCAAGGCTTTCAGTCTTTTCACATCTGCAAGGCCATTACAGCTATAAAAATTTGATACCCTTCCAGCAGTGTTCCACATCTTGTCACAAGTTTTTGACAACTTGTTTTGCAGTTTATATGCCAGTTTACTAACACTCACGGACATAAGTACAGGTGGAAGTGTGTGAGGCATATGAATGCCTTTCAAAAGCTTACTTTTCTAAGTGACAGAAACCATATTCAATGGCATTTTGGCATGTTACAGTATATATTAAAAGGCATGAATGGGTTGCAGATAACACGAAAGTTTAAATCTGGTTCAGCTAGATGACATATACAGAGCAAATACTCTCAGGAAAAGTGAGCCTTAATTGTGTAGAGTGTCTAATGCATAACGCATCAATAATTTAAACGACATGAAGCGTCGAACAAAATGCTAATACCCATCAAAGAGACTGAGAGGGAGCCTTTGGAGTCGATGGCACTGTAATAGAGGCGGGATGGCGACACTCTTTTCTTAACTAATGGAAGATTCCCATTAGGACAAATCAATGCTCGACTTTGTTAACCCAGACCCAGAACTTAGTTAGCGCAATGAAACCACAAGAGATCCAAAATTTCGCATTATATATAAGAGCAACTCCCACCAACACTGGTTTCTTAGCCCTTGTCCTCAACTGCAAATCTATTTTCATCTACTTTGGTGCGTACATGAATTTAAGGCATTGATTGTTCTCAGAAGATGACGCACGCATTGGCACACTGCATAAAGAAGCATATTATACAAAGAGCAAAAGTGGTTTGTGGTTTTTTTTCCTGTGTGTAGGGTGCCAAAGAAACTGTCACATATGCAAAAAAATAATAATAATCTTAAACTATTTTTGTCTTGTTTTCCAGTTAATAAGATTTGTCTTCAAAGTTTATTTTTCTTAACTCATTGGAAAATATTTTTCCTTGTTTTAAGCATAATGATTTGGTTAGAAATTTGAAAGAAAAAAAAAAAAATTACCAATGGGATAAGGAAAATAAACTTCAAACTATATTCTCTGAAAACAAGTCTTAATATTTTATGCAGTTTTTCTCTCAAGTTAATTTATCCTGGATGTTTTTTTTTTTACAGTACTCTAGATCATCCCCAAAACCCTAATGACTCTCTTGCAGGGCTCTGCCATGTTTACTAATGATGAATTCCCCAACATTCCCATGACATTTCAATATCCGGCTCTTCCATACATGTTGCCAGAGCTGGGGAATCCCATCTGGTCAGATTGTGATGGGAAACATAAGCCTTGTATGAGCAAAGAGCAGAAAGTGTATTTTTTCTTGGAGTGGTTGGGTCTGGTGCTCATGGGAGGCGAACATCAGGAGGCACTGAGCGTCGACAGAGCGCAAATGAGGAGTGGAGAGAGAGAAAGTGTGCACAGCCTTCCTGCTCTGGATCCACGGGCACCCATGCCTGTAAGCAAACGCAAACACAACCATCAAGAAACACTATTTAACCTCCCAAAGGAGAGAAAGAGAGCATTGTGGTTTCAATTCTCAGACAGCTCATTCCTAAATCAAAGAGAAATTGCCTAATAATGTAGATAGTGGCGCGGACCTAATACTCCATGTTCAAGAACAAAATACGGTTTAAAACTGTTTAAAAAAAGAAAATTGTCATCAGGAAGTCTAAATTAAATACATTCTAATTTATAATTAGATATATATATATTTCTATATTAAATAATATATTCAAGTCAAATTGTAAATATAATTTGTAATTATATACAACTATTTATTTCTAAAATTTATTGTAACTATACATAGCTATTTCATCACATGTTGTTAAAAATATGCAATGGTTTGTCAAATGAAACATTTTATATTTTCATGTTATAGCTTATCTAACATATCACATATCACCCTTTGCATCTAATGTGCCCTATTCATGGAAAGAACCATTATTGAGGAAAGAATCCTCTGAAAGAATCGGGTTGAATCTGAACGCAAATCTCTGTACGAAGGGGGAGGGAAGTCGAGCTCATTTTGATTGCTCCCATTTGAAGGAGTGAAGGAATCGGGGGTGATTCTCACTAATTTATATGCAGCTCTGGCTGTGCAGTGACAGAGTTAGATAGCGGAGGAGCGTGCATTCCTTAAAAGGTCGGATTCTACGACACACTGAAAGACTGAAGTGAACGGAGCAAAATATTTAGGCATCCAAACTGACTGAATCCCCATTAAGAGCTCATCAATGCCGGCGGAAGACGAAATAAAAGACGGCAGCAGGAAATGACTTACTGAGTTGGTGAATGTGGATGGGCTCGCTTCCTTCCCCCAAGCCTCCTTCACTGAGGGTCTTGATCTGAATGACGTAGTTGTCGTTCGGATTGAGGGTCAACTCAACCGAGGTTTTGTTGGTGATGATGGAGTACATGTCGTTATTCCGGTGTCTTCTGTACAGCACCTGCAGATGATGGCACCCAAATAAATCAAGAGCTTCATTCAGAATAATTAACACTAGGGCTGTCAATCTTTTTTTTATTTTTTTTTACAATATAAGTCCACCAATTTATTGCAATTAGTGGAATTTTTGCTGAAAAAAGCCCCCAAATGAAGATAATTCTAAGACATTGTATTATTGTGGCAATACAATATACATACAGAACTCTGATTTGAGGCATCATTCATGTCTGTAGTAGTTTAATATTTAGAGATAGTCTCTAAAGCCCTATTCGCACGGGATTAGTATTATCTGGGGACCTTGTGTGATTTTGAAATTACCCCCCCCCCCTCTGAATTTCGTGTGGTGCATTCGCATGGGATAAGCGAAGCCTGTGATTTTACTCAAATTTACTGAATTATCTCCCGGATGCGATGTCAAGGCTTTGAGAGTCCCATTCTATGGTCCGGTTAGATGGATTAATATATATAGATTAATATAGAAACCAATATAGTTTCGTGCCCTGTGACATTTACATTTCACCATGTTAAAATGATATCTCAAGCTTTATGCTTGATTTATTTGTAACACAATAACCTCAAAACCTTTTCAGCTTTTTCTTTCTGCAAATTGTATGGTGTAGCAATATAACAGCACCCAAAATACTATCAAACACTCCAACGCAGCTCCATTCTTCGCGAAAGATGGATAAAAAATGCGCACAGGAAACAAAAACCTCGAAAAATGATATACGATGCAGGCCAAATCACAGAGATGCTGATTCGCACGGGACTAATATTATCACAGGACCTCGGTGTTGTTTTGCCCTGTTTTTCTAGATGATGTTTACTGATGCAAATGGCTAGTGCTTTTCCCTTGAGCTTCATGACTGTTTTCCCTTGTGGGTAAATTAGCACTGTGAGAGCTGTTAATTGCATGCATGTGTAATTAAGAGAGGTGGAACGAGACATGAAATAGCATATGCTGTGCTCTTATCTATAAAAACACACAAATGAATGGTTTTCGGCCACGTAACTGCCATATCTTTGTAGCTAAATTACTGCACCCCGACAACCCTTATTATGTATATCAATAGTATCAGATGCAAATATGCATTGTAGTTCCTGCTGTCATTGTTCGGCTCACAATGTAGGAATGGAAATGCCTGACTGCTAAAGGGAAAACAATGTGTTACCTTCGGTGAAACTCTTATAAAATATCCAAATGCATTTTCTGGGTGCAGAGAGATAATGTCACTCACTATGTATCCCGTGACCTCAGATTCAGTTTCGAGAGCGATGACGGGATCCCACTGCAGCACGAGCTGAGAGCCAATCAGATTCCACTCTACATTCTGAGGGGGCTGTCCAGGCGCTGAGATTTGTTGTGTATGAAAGAAATGGGCAGAAAAAGAAAGAAAGGGTTCACAATGTGCGATCAATTGTGCAACCACGTTCGATGACAAGCAGATTAGTACCATCAGCAGGGGAAGTTTCTTTCAGCTCAAATCTGTTGCTAAATCAAAACCATTTCTATCACAGACTGACTTGGAAACTGTGATTCATTCTAATTAGATAGCATTGGTTTCAGCAGTTTGATGTTGTGTGAGATTGTGTGTGTTTTTATTGACTATTCCTGGTTTTAATTTAGCATCTAAGTTTAGTGAGAGTTGTTCAGCCCTTTGGGTCAATTTCTGCTGCTTTTAAATGCTTTATAAATAAACATGACTTGACTTCACTAGACTACTAGGCAAGGCAAGGCAAGGCAAGTTTATTTGTATAGCACATTTCATACACAATGGTAATTCAAAGTGCTTTACATAAAAGAAAAGAAAAAAAAATAATCACAACAATAAAACAAGGAATTTAAAAAACAAAAATAGATGGTTGAAAACGCCTTCAGATGGAAAAAAAGTTATAGGTTTTCAATCTTTCACAGACATAACTCAAAAAACAAAGCGTGAATGTACTATTCTGCTAGTTTATGTACTACTAGGTGCCTCAAGCAAAAAAGCTTTTTGAAAACTTTGAAAGATTTGATGTTACCTACAAAAAAAAAAAACTCTTGAGGCAGAAATAGATTCCCATAACATTCAGCAGAGTAAAAAATAAAGGTAAATGTAAGATAAAAAAAGATCCATAGAAAGTTGTTCTTAGACTTGACATGGAACATTTTACTAACGAACTGCGGATGAGTAAATCTTCCAGATGCACACATCGAATAAACCTGTCAGCAACACATGATCACGGAATGTTCTCTGAAAATGGTTTGAAATGGACAGTACTTACGTGGTTTTTTGGTGGTAACATTGACAGGTACAGACTGGGGGCCAGTTCCTGCAGTATTGAAGGCACACACCGCTAGATAATACTGAGTGTTCCCTTGCAGGCCGCTGACATTCACTGCTGTGTAGTTTCCAGTGATCCGCACTTTACCCACTGTATCCGGCTTGGTGTCATCTTCCCAGTACACCACCTGTTCGCCAGGACACAAAACAAGGGCATTTTATATATCCTTGACTTTAGTTGTAAACAGCTCTCTGCCGGAACAATTACAATCACTCTTGCAACCCAGTGTGACCCTAAATATGCAGATTTTTCTCAAAAGAAGTGCTACTATGAAAATAAAAATGTCTTGGCACATTCATTTAACTGAAATGGTTTGTAATGGAAATATGTTAATTAGGTTTACAGTGTTAAATCTCAGGAAAATATACAAAGTAAATGCCAAGAATTTTTATCTGCGGCCAAAGAAGGTGAGATATGATTTGCATGGAATTTATTACATTGTATGAAAGTCATTACATTTGAGATTTCTTTCAACATGACTTGATTTCACAACGATCAACAACAAAGTGATCAATTCAGATATTTGATACACGTGTTTGACTTCATTTATATTATTCACTTCATTTAGCTGATCATTTGTGTCTTTTCTGCAAATTACAAGCTTGAGAACTTATCTCTGGCTGCTGGAAATATGATATTCTTTTGAAATGGTATGTAGATTCTCTTGAGGATATGAAATTTCAATTAACATTTAGCTGTGTGCTAGGTGAGAAACAATTAGGCAGCGGAAATGAAATAATTAATTATTAACCCCAGGTCATCTGTAATATCAATATTGAGGCATTAAGTATAAGAAGATTTAAGCCAATTTCAAAATTAGACATTAATGAGATCTGCTCAAGGGAGGCATATTTCTGAATTATTTCTTTTCTACCTTTTGCTCTCTCTGTTTTTGCAGGATGTAGTACATTGCATCATTCAGACTTGAATTGAGAATTCAGTTATTCATTCCAGTTCAGTTCTTAAATTTAAATTGAGGCAGCAAACAGGATGCAGAATTTTAATTCAAAAGAGAATGCAAGGAAGTAGAACTAAAATGAACAAATTCAAAGGAAGTCATTTGTATTTTGTCTTTTGGGTACGCTTTAAAAAAAAATCTGTGACATTTACGGTAAAATACCGGCAGCTGTGGTTGCCAGAACTTCACCATTAAATTTACCAACCGTTACAGAATTAACTTACATTCACAATAAAAAAACGTATTTCATTAACTGATGTAATGTTAATAAACCAGCATATTGAAGTACTAATATCTGTTTTGAACCATTGTAAAACTGATAATCACCAAAAACGGGTGGTGATGAGAAAGTCACATGATGAATCAAAGCTCATCACAAACTTCCACAAGCTGAGAAGGGAAATACTAATAGGCTATATATATATAGAATGTGCACAGTGTCATTCACACAAACACTAAACACTAAACACACATGATGCTGAAATAAAGCAATAAACATTAATTTAACAACATTAGATGTAAGATAAAACCCTAATGTACACAACTGATTAAATTAGAAGCATTAAATTAGAAAAATGCAAAGTAGATGCATCTGCGTTAACAGTCTCAGACTGTTGGACCTTACCGTTTGGTTTTGTGCAAAAGGAAATGCAGTGATAGTTTTAAAAGGAACTTTCCATTTCAAATGCTGCAGGTGCTTCAAAGGGCCGTGAGCACAAATAAATGGTATATACGCATACAGCGCCGTTTCCTTGATCCATGCTGCTTTGATTTGGTCTTTCAGTCCTCGCTAACCAAAGACGAGACAAAAATAAAACCTAAAAAGTTTTCCCCTCATCTAGAATCCAGTGACATGATAGTTCTATTCTTTCCAGACAATATGGCCGCTACCATGGCAACGTGGCGGTTTTGTGCCGCAGGGCAGGGGTGACAGAGATGGAGAGAGTGGCTTGTGAGAAAGCGAGACTCTCTTTGCATTCTTGAAAGGCCAGTGAAGAGCTTTCATCCAGCTTCTAAGAGCCACAGACATTTAACAAAGCAGCGGCGTTGTCTAAACACTGGCATTCTCCATGTTTGAGGTGGCATGGGAGAGGTGAGAAGCACTTTTAATAATCGCTTGTGATCCTGATCGCATTATTAAGAGGAAAACATGACATTTAATGTGGCAAAGGGGAAGATAATGCGAATCAAACCTCATATCCGAGAACTCTTTCAGGGGTCGATGCAATCGGCTCCCAGGTAACTTCGATGTCGGCCGCCGACAGACTTTTTGCTGACACTCTCTCTGGCGCTACGCTCGGCACTGTGGAGAAACGGAGAGATGTTGAGGCTCTTATTCAAAAAGCTTTACACAGCCATCGAAGTAAAATTGGATTAAGTCAGAGAATGAAGCCCCGGTCTCACCTGAGAGAGGCCCTACGTCATTTTAATGGGAACTATGACTGACAGAGAAGGAGACAATCTGCTGGGAAAATTCAATTAACACTCTAGCACATGAATAGGCCTGTAAGTGTCTAGCAGGATTTGTTGTAACCTATAGCCGCAATAACTAATATAAGGTTGTCATTCACAGCTTGAACGAGGGAGGAGGGGCGTAAGCTGTCTCAATCAACTTATTCCATCATTCTCATTCAAGGTCACACCTGTATGTGCGAAGGGAGGGAACCGAGACAGTGTTTGAGAACGTGAAGGGACTACTGCTGAGTCTGACTGTGTTTGTGTGTTCCTAATGGTTTAGCTCCACGGGCCCACACAATGTATCGCTGACTGGCCTATATTAGTATTTCCGGATGATTAGGCCAAAATTGAAAGCAGATAACATCAGGGCTCAGACTATTAGGCTTATATGTAGGATTAGTGATATGAACTAATTGTACTATTTTGCTTATTTTCTAAAGCAAATATGTGTTATTTTTGTTATTGCTGAAATTTTCAGTCTAGTGGATAACAAGAAAAAAAAAACAGACACAGATTTGCATACAGTACCATTCAAACATTTTTTTTTTAAAGAAATTAATATTTTTAATTAGCAAGCATACATTAAATTGATCAAAAGTGACAGTAAATAATATGTTTAAAAAATCAATTTCAAATAAAGGCTTTTCTTTGAAATTTTCTATTCATTATGGTTTACACAAAAATAAGTAGCACAATTTTTATCAACACTGATAATAATAACTCGGCATATTAGAATGATTTCTTAAGTATCTGCACACTGGAGTAATGATGCTGAAAATTCAGCTTTGCCATCACAGGAATAAATTACAACGTAAAATATATTAAATTGCAATATTATATAACAATCTATGCAAATAAATGCAGCATTAGTAAGCATGAGAGGCTTTTAAAAAACATAAAAAATTAACTTTTGAATGGTAGTGTATATGATCTATATCTAGAGTGTAGCGTCTGGACCAATCAGACACACAATATAGTTTTTGTTAGTTATATTTAACAAATACTCTGTAACACCCCTCAGTTAACAAGCCAGTTGAGGGCCTGTGGACCCTTCCCCCGAAATGCGTCTTAACACCTCAGGAAGGCAGAATAGGCCTCTGATTCCATGGCAACCAATGCTGATATCACTGGTTTTATTGCCCAAAGGAATGTGGGTAGAGAAACTCACTACATTTTCCATAGGAAGAGACACAATGCACAGTAAAAATGGACTCTTCTCTAATTAATTCATAGGAAAACCTTTCTTTGAATGTGACAGACAGTTGACCCTGAGAGGTCAAGTAAATACTTACAGCGGATCTAAATATTTATAATTAATTATAACTAGTTATGATTAATTATTAATATTTCCCCTTTGAGCTGATTTGCTACAAGAGAGTCGAGATCAGAATATCATATAATATCATATCATAGCCATATCAGTTACAACATTGTAGGAAAGCAGCATTTTTTTTTTATTCAAACATTGTACCTAATAAAAAAAAAGTGTATTCATGGTAAAATCACTGTAATGTACAAAATGTACAAAACACTGCTTTTTGTAAATATTTCAATGACTGATCTGAAGTACATTCTATAATTGGAACATGCTGTCTGTAAAAGAGGCATGCAAAATAATAATTATAATATTTTAATTATTTTATATATTAAAATAATAATATTATTGGCCATCACATTATTATATAAAATGACCCTCTAACACTAGTGTTCTCTATTTTTTTTCTAATCTATCTACTTGTTTTTTTTTTTTTTTCATTAAAGAAAAAAAAAAAAAACCTAGCTCTAACCCCAATCAAACACACCTGAACCAACTAATCAAGGTGTTCAGGGTTGCTTGATAATTACAGACAGGTGTGCTGGAGCAGGGTTGGAACTAAAGTCTGCAGGACGGTAGCTCTCCAGGAGCAGGGTTGGACACCCCTGCTATAGACTAACCGAGACTTGTCATAGCACTTTTTTTGTTGTTGTTGGTTTTGAATGCTCCTGTTGTCTTCATTAGTAAGTCGCTTTGGATAAAAACGTCTGCTAAATGACTAAATGTAAATGTAAATGTATAGGCCTATTAGTCTTAAACTAAGTAATTAGCAGTTGTTTTTATCAGCCTAAACTTCAATATCACTACAAATCTCTAAAAATCTGATTAAGAAAAATGTTATTCTGTGTGAATGAGTTTGTGATTGTGAGTGTTGATGTACACAAATCCACTCTACCTTCCTCTGCAGAGAACACTGTTGCAATACTGCTGAAAGGTCCTTCTCCACGGTTGTTGAACGCTCCCACTTTGACGTTGAATGGTGAGAACGGTGGGATGGTGTCATTTCGGAAAACGTAGCGGGTGACGCTGGGTGCCGAGATCACGGCTCGGGTCCAAGTGACCATTCCCACTGGCCGGAAAGCGATGATATAACCGAAGCCCTCTCCGTTCTGCAACTCCTCTGGAACAGGCTTAGAGTGGAACACAAAACTATAGTGATATTAAAACAAATTGAGGTCAACACATCAACTGACCCACATGACAACAGGGCTTTATTAGCACTTAGTTTAAAGTGCACTTTCTTTCTCAAGTCACTTTAATTATTATGTATGCTGTATTCATGACTTCATATTAGTAGAGAGACTAGATGGAACATTTGAAGGACTTAAGTCACCTGAAAAAATATGGTGGAAAAAATAAACACACTTTTCCTCTCAAACATACAAGACCACCAAGGTTGGGGTCTGTAAGATTTTTAAATATTTTTGATAGAAGTCATTTATGCTCACCAAGGCTGCATTTATTTGATCAAAATACAATAAAAACAGTAATATTGTAAAATATAATTACAATTGTTTTCTATTTTAATATATTTTAAAATGATTACATGATTCTTCATGCATTTTAAATAAATAATAACAGCTGATCTGGTGCTCAAGAAACATTTCTTATTATCAGTGCTGAAAACAAATAAAATACGTTATATTTTTGTAAGAAATATGTTTTTTTAGGATTATTTGATGAAATAGAAAGTTCAAAAGAACAGCATTTTACTGTTCATTGTTTAAATGTTTTATTAACCCCCCCCCAAAAAAACAACAACAACAACTTTTGAACAGTAGTGTATATATTAATTTGAAAGCAGTTTTCCAAAAGTGTTTTACTGTTTGTATCACTCTGCTTTTTATTGAAGTTGCATATTGTGCCACTAGTTACAGAATAGTAGGCAAAAATGGCTCTCCAACATGTTTTAGTATTTAGGTTAGCTAAAATAGACTAAATCACTAATACAGTTCATAAAAGCCTTTGAAAATTCAAATCAAAGCATTTCTTATGAATATTAGACTTTTCCCTTGCTAAACCCTTATTTCCTCCATGATGTGTCTGAACAGAAAGAAGCCTATTTGTGAAGGAAATACACTTCAAAGAAACTCTCTGGCCCTGAGTTAACTTCCATTTGGAGGAGAAGTAGTAAAGCCTGGAGTCCGGAGGCCAGGATGGAGGGGTCTTGGTGCGGGCAACGATCATAAAATGGTTACATTTCATTCTACACAATTAAGCAACGGCATTTAGCCCAGGCTGGCCGAGGGAGCAGTAAAATCTGAAAAATGACTTACCTCCCATGTTATCACTAATTCCGATTTGGTACCTCCTCCGCCTCCGACATCAGTGGGAGCCGTGTCAGGCACTGCAGGCAAAAACCCAAAGAAGAGATTAAAATGCTGCTGGCAGAGCTCTGATTGGGATTTCTCATTGTATGTTTGAGCATCAAAAGTGTATTTAAATTTTCATCACAAAAAGGCTCTAAACTATCTCTTTCACAGAGGTTCTACCTTCTTTAAACAATCCCTCAGAAATTTGTGAATAAAATAATGCGTTTTTGGAATAGGTTTGAGTGTTGCATGTGGAATAAAAGTGATGGATGTGACAGATGACGGGAGAATTGAGGATGTTTGGTCTGCTCCAGTGCTTTCAATTTCAGTGCCTGTCTGGAATAAGTCTGTCTCACACTAGCATACTCACTAGCATCTTCTGTTCTGATCTTGGTAGACGGGGGACTGGGCTCTCCCATCCCGACACTGTTACTGGCCAGGACTCTGAACTCATATTCCACCCAAGCGTTCAAACCCACCACGGTTGCAGTCAGAGTGTTTCCATTGATCACCTCAGGAACTGAGCATAAGAAGAACAGTAAAATACAATAGCAACTAACTGAAATAAAATAAAGCACTAAAAGTTTACACACTAAAATTACAAAAATTAAAACAGAAAAAAATCTAAATAAAATTCAAAACTAATAAAATGACAAAACATACAATTCTTAATGTAAAAAATAATAATATAAAATAAATTAAAATATTATATATAGTAATTAAATTTA